AACCCACCTACCAGCAGTCAGCATAGCCCTTGGAATCTGACCCCTTGCACTCCCCTATAAAAACCCTGTAACCCCACTACCCGGGGCCCGGAATTTCGAGTGCGTGCTCATCTGGGTCCGCCAGCATAAAATAAACCCAAGTTCTCCTGCTTCTCCGAGGGTCTCTTGGTTTCTCGCCGGTCTGATTATTTTCCACAACAGTATTTTGATTGGATTTGTGTTCGAGTTGTAGATCAACCGGGGTAGAACTGGGACATATGAACTACACTGAGTCTTCCAATTCATGAACATTTTGATTTCTTTTAACAGTGTTTTCAGCATATAGATCGTGCACATATTTTGCTAAATTTATACCTCACTATTTCACTTTTTTGAAGTTACTGTAAATGGTTCTGTTTCATGTTGAAAAAATCATATTCACTCAAAAAATGAAAATTTTATTTTGTATTAGGAAATCAATGTAATTCAACATATTAAATGTTTGGGAAAATGACATTCCATAATTAAACCAATGTAGGACGAGAATTTGATAAACACTAATTTATTATTTAAAAAAAAGTCTACTAGCGTAATAGAAAAGAAAGTTCTTTAACCTTATAAATTGTATCTATAAAAATATAAAGCAAATATTATTAATGGTTAAAATTTGAAAGTAATCCCTGTAAAGTCAAGTACAAGATAAACACTTGACTTTGTACTCTATCCTGCTGAGGCAGCTGAGTAAGGCAAAATAGGGAAATCAAAGATACGTAAATTAGAAAGAAAGAAACAAAAAATTTTATATGTAGGTGATGCTTGTCAACATGAAAAATCCCAAAGGTTCTAATTAATAATTATAGCAAGTTGTCTGATTTTTTTGAAAAAAATCATGTATGAAACTCAATTCTTTGAACATCTGCCAATATTATATACATATTAAAATGCATAAAAAGTACATAATAAATTAAAGTACCATTAAATAAAAGTCCTCAGGTTTAAATGTAACAAAAGACTTGCATAAGTTTTGCGGAGACAATTATAAAACATCATTGAACACTATCAAAGAAAACTAAATAAAACAGAGAGATCCTGACTAACAGTATCTGGTCCAAAAGCAGATTATGGCTGCTAGAAAGAACGGTCTTCAGTGTCAATGCCCCTGGTGTATTTTAGCAATTTAGGGAAAGCAGTACATAATCTCTTTAGATCAATGTCTTCCTAAAACGATTAGAGAAGTTAAAACTGTTTTTCTCTTTTCTTATTTTCATAAAAAGCATGTAACTTGGTTATGGGAGAGGCAGCTACGGCAGCTCCAACAGGATTATATTGTCACTGCTTCATAACAGTCTTAGTTATTGATAACTCTCCTAAAGCAACACCCTTTTTTCTGGAGAAAACAAACCATAAATTGGTAATCAAGTATTTCAAAAACTCACCTCAACTTACAAGGAAAAACTGAATTTTTTGGGCCTGCTTCCATAAGGCTGGGTCTAGGTGCGGCCAGCTTTGCTGATCGTGTATTCCTAGACTCGAAACATCAGGATCATTATTTCCTTTCTATAACGTAATTCCAAGTGACCTGAGAAAGTCAAAACACCTTGATGTTCATGAGAAATAGGGCTTTGTGTTTGTCATTATCCTGGAACTGCAAATTATGAAATGGCTTATTAGCAGATATACTAACTTAGCATCTTTGTTATTTCACGATCACCTTACTTGAGATTTGCAGCTGATGCTGATCACTATGGCTAAAATAAATGACATCTACAACAGTCCTTTCAACACTAAATAAAAAGAACTTATAAATGAATGCAAAGAATACAAGCAAAATCAAATATTTTAGTTAAGATGCTACCGAGTTTCTGCTTGTTAGGCATTAGGTTGCTAAAACTCCTATATGCTACATTTTTAGCCAGATATTTAAGGCACTATAGTTAATTATACTTCATCCTTTAGCGGAAGGGACAAGGGACCTCTTTTAAGATCTATGTTGTTTTCATTCCACTTCATTGACCACAGGCCATGACAAAAAGTTAGTAATGTAGTAATCTAATAACTACACATATTTTTGTTGTTGTTGTTTGTCATGCATTGACTTTCCATTGACTCAGTATTTTCCTACAGTCACTATTTGTATGTGGATGAGATCATTCAAATTGAAAGGAAATTCTATCAAAATGGTTTGTGTCCCCTCCTTAAGACTTCCACAATTATTGGCAATTGAATTCTTTACTACTTCACCTTACTCACCTACTACTCTACTCCTACTGCTAGTAAAGCACTTGAACTTTATACTTTAATTTTAATCTTTTTTGGATAGAAATAAAGTAGAGCAAATGAACAGGTTTTTCTCCATTGGATGTCAAAGGATCCCAGCAGGTTTATTCCAGAGCAGAGGTCTCTAAAATAAGTTGTATTATTTAGAGGTCACATTTTGTTCTCTTTCTGACAAGAAGATTGTTTTAGCTTTTAATTCAGAATTCTAGAGCTGTAGAAAGCTGATCAATTATCGCAGCTGAAAGATATCTTTCCAAGTTGGTTTCTAGAAGATAAGAAATGGGATGGAACAGAATTCTTAGGCAATTATGAGCAGGTAGGCATGATTCTATGGCAGCAAGCACCAATGTGCATTCCTTTCCACCTAAACAGTAATTCTTGAAGACATCAGTTCACACTATATTTAAAGACCATATATACCTGGGTTATTCTTTTTTTTTTTTTTCACACACAAGTGTACTTTATTGAATTCAGCTGTAGACAGGCAAGTGTGTTAATGTAAAGGGCTGGACGCTAAGGGACAGGGCTAGCAGCGCACGGTGGAGGACTTGGGTCTCCTGCCATGAGCACCTAGTGGTACCCATTGTTCTCTTGCATAGACTTTAAAAATACACTGTAGGCTGTAGCGTAGACAAACACCAGAAGAACAATGGATCCAGTGGTCAGAAGGAGGCCCAAGACCAGGGCCCAGATGTTCAGGCACTTGGCGGTGGAGGCATAAGTCTGGGCCCCAGTCATGTCACCCACCATCTTCCGGTCCCTAGACTTCACGGAGTAGGCGAAGGCCACGAAGCCCAGGCAGCACCAGTTCATGAAGATGGTGTTGAACAGGGACCAGACGATGTGGTCGGGCACGGCTGTCTCACTACGGATGTTGATCACAGTGGTCGTCACGGGAGCCGAGCTCTGGGGCGCCCCAAGTACAGCCACCTTGTGCTCCTCCTTGAGCATCTCATAGGTCGGGGGGATGCCATTGTGGGCGCCCGGGAAGAAGTGCTGGGAGTTGTGGTTCATGGTGGGAGATGGAGCCCCTGTGGTGTGGATGTCTATACCTGGGTTATTCTTAATTTATTATTTTCTCTGCTCCTTCCTTTATCTTAGACGCTAATTATTAGTAAGCTAGGTCAGAAGCTTTGAATCTGTCAGATTTTATTTGCTTTGTCATGCCAGGTTAAAATGAAATTGGATAATTTTACAAGAGGAGATTTGAAAACCAAATTTCTACCATAATCACATAAATATTAAATACTGAGACTTCTAATTTTAAATTTTTTTTTTTTTATATATTTGACAGAGAGAGATAGTGAGAGCAGACCCACAAGCAGGGGGAGTGGGAGAGGAAAAAGCAGGCTTCCTACGGAGCAGGGAGCCCAATGCAGGGCTCGATCCCAGGACCCTAGGATCATGACCTGAGCCGAAGGCAGATGCTTAATGACTGAGCCACCCAGGAGACCCAAATTTTAAATTATTTTATCTTACAAAGATGCCATTTCCCTAGGGCACTGAAATATTTTTCTATGTTGTCAATATGTAAAGAAAGCACATTGCTGGGGCGCCTGTGTGCCTCAGTGAGTTAAGCGACAGAGTGTTGGTTTTGGTTCAGGTGGTTATCTCATGGGTCAGGAGATTGAGCCCTGGTGTCAGCCTCCAAGCTCAGCAGGAAGTCCGCTTGAAGACTCCCTGCCCCTCTCCCCTCACTGGCACAAAAACGCATACACTCTCTCTCTAAAATAAATAAACCTTTAAAAAAAAGTATTTTCAATTATGACATTAAATAGTAAAGCAGGCATCCAATAAAATGTCCTTGAAATAAAAGTTACATGTGAGAATATCCACAAGTATACCCTTTCTTAAAAAGTTAGAGTACTGTGTTTTTTAGAGCTAGATAGGTAGAATTTAGTACATATGTATATATTTATATAATCATTTACCCACATATAGACACACATGTAATTTACTTCGTCTGTAATTTCTTTTACATAGGGTAATTAATTGAATATTGAAAAAAGTAATGCATCAATATCTACATGAGAAGAATTCCTGATAAACCTTTGAATAAAAGTGATGAAAATGATAAGCAACAACAAAAAAATAGCAGTACATGCATGGACACTACTTTCTATCTCATCATCTGTTTCCTAAAATTATCTTAAAACATTTAGTAAAATCTCTAAGTTCTAAACAATGAGGTATCACCAAGCCTTCTCCCAACTAAAGGTTCTAGAACTTGTTCAGCTGAGCACACTCCACTGGCTGAAATCCTAGAATTTTCCTCTGCAATGTCCCCAGTGTCTCATCTCACTTCCTGTACATATCCATCCGCAAGAAGAGATCAACGGGTGGATAACATTATGTTCCTTTTTTGTTCATTCCTTTTCTTTCCTTTTCAAGTTCCAAGGAACAGCTGAAATGTCAGTGACACTATTTCTGGTGGCATTAGAAATGTGTAAAAATGTGATGTTCGTTCTCTATTTCCCAAGGAAATGAGCAACTGCGATGACATTTTGTTCCTGGTTAGTTAAGCCTGAGTCTAAGGGGAAATGGTTTAATGGTAACATAATGTTTCCTGTATTCTGATAGGATTCTAGGGACAAGTTGTCCATATATTCTAATTCCAGGAACTTCTAAATAGCATTTATGCAAGCCAATACTGCAGAAAAGAGTCTCAAATTCAAGTTTGACTTCTTACGCCATCTGGGACCAGATAAATTGGATCCAGATCAGTTTTAGAGCCATTTTTAATAAGATTAAATTGATTATGCAATGCTCTCAAAACCAGGCATTGCTATTCATTGGGAAACATCAATTATTTCCTCGGTTTTTGCAGTTACGAATTAATATAGTTCTCCATTAGTGAGATGAACTCCAGGTTACTAATTAGGATAGCACCACATTAGTGAGTTCTATTTGTTTTGTAATTTGGCAAAATTTATTTGTATTTGGAGAATGTCCTAAATCTATGGTGCAGAATATTCTGTTGTATTATTTTTTCCCTTAATCTATCCCCACCTCAAAATCTGTCCATTATGCCACTGTCCACATCTTTTTTTTTTTTTTTTTTCCTCATCCCAACAGAGGTAATTGACTCTACTGCTAGCCTGGAGTGAGGAGAAAGTCAATGTTTTAGCTACATCTTCTTCAGCATCATATTTTACTCCTCCCTGCTCTGGTACCAAATTATTCTGTTCCCTTTGTAAAAACTCATTTGAATGGCATGCAAATGGGTCTGTTTATGAGAAGGAATCAATACTCATATTGCTGAGATCTGCTCTATAATAAACCTGAAACACTCATCCAATAATGGAGAGTAACTAAATTAATTTATAACATCTTTGTCATCGAACATCTCTTAGAAGCTACTCCAAATGACCTCTAAACATCTTTCACCACACCATGTCAATAGTTCCTGGGAATTCTAATTTGAGATGTGCTATAAGCATGCTGCTGGAAGTTAGAATCTGTTCTATTCTGTGCATCCCTACAGGTCTCTTGCATCTGCTCAAAATATAAAAGTGATTGGGCGCCTGGGTGGCTCAGATGGTTAAGCATCTGCCTTCGGCTCACGTCATGATCCCATGGGTCTTGGGATCGAGTCCTGCATCATGCTCCCTGCTCCTTGGGGAGCCTGCTTCTCCCTCTGCCTCTCTCTCTCTCTTTCTCTCTGTCTGTCTCTCATGAATAAATAAATAAAATCTTTTAAAAAAAAACAAAAAAAATATAAAAGTGATACTTACTTTCAAATGAACCCAAATCACGCTCTTTAGCTCTTCAGGGAATACTTCTCTGGTGATTACATAAAGCATTTATGAATAGGTTTAGGCAAACAAGCTATAAGGGACAGGCCATTTTATAAAGTGCTATAGGGCATGTGTTTGTCTAGAATCATTTGAACATAGTGATAACATGTAATGCATTATCTGGGATGACTATTCTTCAAAATTTCTCTCTTTGCCTCCATCGCCAGCTCCACTCAGGGACTTGCCTGTTTGAAGAAGATTGTAAACTGGCAGAGTGACCTGAATTGAAATTGTTACAGAAAGACAGAAGAAAGACTCCCATCTTCAGAACATTTTCTATTTACAGCATATTTTTAGTGCCTTCTGCCCTTTAAGATACCAGAGATGATTTCCTATCACAGTTCCATTTTTTTGCTTTGGGGAAATCACAATGTTAAGAGGCTACATGGGCACCTGCTTTTTGGTTTACAGGTAGACCTGGGAGGTATTATGGGTTCGGTTCCAGACCACTGCAATAAAGAGTCAAATGAACTTTTTGGTTTCCCAGTACATATAAAAGTTATGTTTACACTCTACTGTAGTCTATTAAGTTTACAATAGCATTATGTCTAAGAAAACGATGTACATAACTTAATTTAAAAATACTTTATTGCTAAAAAATGTTAACCATCAACTAAGCTTTCAGCGAGTTGTAATCACTGATCGCAGATCACCCTAACAAAATATATAATAGGGAAAAAGTTTGAAATATTGCAAGAATTACCAAAATGTGACACAAAGACATAAAATGACCAAATGCTCTTGGAAAAAAATGGCACTGAGAGAGCTGCTGGAGACAGGATTGCCACAAACCTTCAATTTGTAAAAAATGCAACTTCTACGAAGCATAATAAAGTGCAGCCCGTTAAGACAAGGTATGCCCATACTCTGTTTTTCTGACTTTTTCAGGTAGCACTGGAAGCTTGAGTAAGAGCATCCTTATCCACGTTCCCAAAATGCAGCTGGTATGCCTGTAAAACATTCAGCCATTGCCTGTGCTTTTGTCCCACACTGCCTGTCAGGGTCTATACTGGAACTACCAGCATGCCTTCTTCCAAATCATGCATTACCTCCTCAAGAGAGTGAAAGCTAGTCTTTCCCCTCCATGAGTCCAGCTAGTTTAAATAACCAGAAAAGAAAGAAAGAAAGAAAGAAAGAAAGAAAGAAAGAAAGAAAGAAAGAAAGAAAGAAGGAAGGAAGGAAGGAAGGAAGGAAGGAAGGAAGGAAAGAAAGAAAGAAAGAAAGAAAGAAAGAAAGAAAGAAAGAAAAAAAACCCAAAACCAAAAAAAAAAAAAAGAAAAGAAAACTGGAGTTTTCTCACACAAAACATTGTGTCAGGGTAAGTTCAGAATAAAGGTTTCAATTAAAGTAAACGCAGCCTGAAACGGTATCAAACTGGTCTTTTTGTGTATCCAAAGCCCTTTGGTCAGAGGGCCCTACACCCAAATCTCCAGCACCATGATGTATATAGACATCTGTTTCTAAGCCTTCTGATAGATATTCATGTTTTACTGCTTTAGAGCTCCCTGGATCCCTCATGCCCATGAATATTTGGACGTTTCGACTCAGTCATCATAGGTCTATTTCCTTAAAGGACTCAAATAATCTCATAGGCTGGGATTTTAACACATCACCAGCCTCTCTCATATATCAGACTCTCATTCTTGCCATTTTGGCAGCATCTAAGTGTTGCTCCTTAACCACGAATAAGTAGTACTTCCTGGAAATAGCCCCAGCTTTCCATAACACCATTTCTCAGTTATAAAAAGTATAGTTTCTCTAAGGGTCTGTCCCACTCTATGCTTAATCTTTGATCATTCAGAAGAAGCTCAGCACTCAAAAAGAGACTCTATAAATAAAACGTATAATAAAACCCTCCAGGAGTTAAGCCAGCATTTTAAGGAAAGCTACTTTAAAGCATGTGATTTGTATGTTTTATCTCAATCCTCTCACATTGGCTCTCCAAAAAATTCTTGGGGAAAACTATATGACAGCAACTACTAGTTTTCTATTCCAATACCCTTTCTTTTCTACTTTAGAAGAAGGATGTGTATCTACTCCAGTTTGCCTAAGCAGACTTGTGTGTTTCAGGATCGTTCTTTTTTTTTTTTTTAGATTTTATTAATTTATTTATTTGAGAGAGTGAGAATGAGAGAGAGAGAGCACATGAGAAAGGGGGATTAACCAACTGAGCCACCCAGGCGCCCCTCTTGTTTCAGGATCATTCTTAATAGCACCCAATTTCACTATCAATATATTCTAAATATTCAATA